TGCAGCCAGTGTATTAAAAAAATTACAATATATAACATAGTTATTTACCATAACCGTCCAATATAATGAAAGTATTGGACAGTTATTTACTATAACCGTCCAATATATAGACATATTAGACAGTTATTGTTAGAACTGTCTAATATGTTTGAACATATTGGACGATTCTGATAATAACTGTCCAATATGTCCATATATTAGACGGTTCTTAAAATAATCGTCCAATATATTTTTTTCCTGTATACCCCATTCTGACACTATATTGGATGGGTCTTTGAACCATCTAATATTATATATTAGACAGTTCTAATAACTATCCAATATTTATTTTATCAATATATGACGGTCTCATATTGGACGGTTCATAACTGTCCAATATAGGCAAAAATAACCATCCAATATTCTCTTTTCTGTAATAGTGAATACTCCTAATACTTTTATAGCATTAATGAATCATGTTTTTAGAAAGTTTATAAGCAAGTTTGTTGTGGTTTGCTTTGATGATATGCTAATTTATAGTAAATCTTTTACTAATCATGTGAATCATCTTAAAATTATGTTTGACACCTTGAGGGAATATAAGCTATATATTAATTTCCAAAAGTATTTCTTTTGCATAGACTTTGTTATCTTTTTAGGATTTGTTATTGGATCACAGGGAATTCGTTTGGATGAGGAGAAAGGTAAGGCTATTCGTGAATGGCCAACCCCTAAGAATACAAGTAAAGTGAGAAGCTTCTACAGCTTAGCAAGCTTCTATAGGATATTTGTTAGGAATTTCTCTAGCATTGCTGCCCCTCTTAATGAACTTGTTAAGAAGAATGTGACCTTCATATGGGGTGAGACACAAGAAAGGACATTCCAAACCCTAAAGGATAAATTGACTAATGCCCCTTTACTTGTTTTGCCTAATTTCTCTAAAGCATTTGAAATTCAATGTGATGCTTCTGGTATTGGTATAGGTGATGTTTTAATGTAGGATTATAAGCCCATAGCTTACTTTAGTGAAAAGCTACATGATGCGGGTTTGAATTATTCCATCTATGACAAACAACTCTTTGCTCTAAAGAGGGCCTTAGAAATATGGCAACACTATTTGTGGCCTAAGGAATTCATCATTCATTCTGATCATGAAAGTTTAAAGTTTTTCAAGTCTTAAGGTAAGTTGAACAAGAGACATGCTCACTGGATAGAATTTATTGAGACCTTTTCTTATGTAATTTAGCATAAGCAAGGCAAAGAAAATGTCATTGCTAATGCCTTGTCTCAAAGGTATACATTACTTTCCTATTTGCATGCTCAATTACTTGGCTTTAAGATTCTAAAAGATCTATATAAAACTAATTCTAATTTTGAAAATATTTAAAAATCTTATGAAAATCATGGATTTGATGATTTCTTTAGATTTAATGGATTTCTTTTTAAGAAAAACAAATTATACATTCTTATTTGTTTTATGCGTGAGTTGCTTACTAAGGAAGCACATGGTGCTGGTTTGATAGGATACTTTGGTGTGGAGAAAACTTTGGCTATTTTGTCTAATCATTTCTTTTGGCCTCACATGTGGAAAGATGTCATATCTGTTTGTGATAAATGCATTAAATGTAGACAGGTAAAATCTAAGGTCCAACATCATAGACTTTACTCTCCTTTATCTGTCCCTCTTCATCCTTAGGAACATATCTTTATGAATTTTATAATTGGATTACCTAAATCTTCTACGGGTAAAGATTTCATATTTGTTGTTGTTGACAGATTCTCTAAAATGGCACACTTTATTGCTTGTGCTAAGACTAATGATGCTGTTAACATTGCTGACTTATTCTTTAAAAAGATTGTTCGTTTACATGGTTTACCTAAGACTATTATGAGTGAAAGAGATGTGAAGTTTTAGTCACTTCTGGTGTACCCTATGGTATAAATTAAGGACTAAGTTACTTTTTTCCACTACTGTCTATCCACAAACTAATGGTCAGACTGAGGTAGTCAACAGAACTATGACTACACTGCTAAGAGTGATAATTCAGAAGAATTTGAAGAATTGGGTAAATTGTTTACCTTATATTGAATTTGCTTACAATAGGGCTGTTCATTCTTCTACTTCTTATTCTCCATTTAAAATTGTTTATGATTCTAATCCATTATCTCCTATTAATATTTTACCTTTTCCTTTTTTGAGCTTGCTAACACTGATGGTAAGAGAAAAGTTGAGTTTGTGCAATACTTACATGCTAAGGTTAAAGCAAACATAGAGCGAAAGAATGAGCAATATGCCAAGCAAGCTAATAAAGGTAGGAGACATGTGATCTTTGAGCTTGGAGATTGGGTTTGGTTATATTTAAGGAAAGAGATTTTCTAATTAGAGGAAATTCAAACTTCAAGCCTGAGGAGATGGACCTTTTCAAGTTTTAGAAAGAATTAATGATAATGCTTACAAGATTAATTTTCCTAGCTCTTATGGTAATGTTAGTGCCACATTCAATATATCTAATCAATCTTTATATGATTCTGCAGATTCAAGGATGAATCCTTTCCAATTGGGAGGGAATAATGGACCCCATGGCACGGATGACATGGCATTAATAACAACGAAGCTTGAGGATGGTAATCATAAGCATAGTGGCATGAAAGGAGCCTAAGGCAAGGAGCAAGGAGCCTAACATTTTCAATCCCACGTGCCTAAAAAACCTTTACAACATATTAGAGGTCCAATGATAAGAGCCTAAACTAAAACTATGAAGTAAGCCTTATTTAGTCTTGTGCAAGAAGTCTAAGAGCTTAGAAAGCATTTGTAACATCTGAGAAAATTTAATCCTAGCTTATTAACCTAACAAGAGTAATTAGTGAGTTAATGATGTGTGTGGCAAGAGGGGCTTAACTTAATATATTTGTGGTGATTCAACCCTAGAAGTGGTTTCGGATCAATGGCGGGCCACTTGGGCAATGAAAAAGGAAGAAAAAGTTAAGAATTTTCCTTTGTACCATATGCCGTTGTGTGTGGTCAGTCCACCACGATGCACAGAGATAAATTTGAATGCAACAGGCTCTTCTGTGCCATATGCTATAGTGGAGGGCAGCGTGTGCTGCGGCGGAGGCTCTTCTTTTGGACCATTGTTTGTAATTTTTTAGGTCTTTACTGTAATTTTTTTATCCTTGTTTTGTAATTTTGAGGTTTTTTTGTCATTTTAAAGTCAACTTGTAATGGTCAAAAGTTAAATTTTGTTAATAGTATAAGTTAAATTATATCAATTTCAAAAGTTAAAAAGGTCTACTAAAAATAAGTTTAGGATTTTAATGCTTCTAAACTTATAGTTTAAGGCTAATTTACTATTTAACACTCATTACTAATTATTATAATTCCAATACAATAAGAAGTGAGAATTTCAATAAGATATCAATATCACTGAAGTTATCATTATCCATTAAAATTAATTCATTTTGGATGCTTCTCCATCGTTTAAGATTTAAAATAATTTAATTTAATTGAAATTTATTTTAAAATTTTAATGATTTTAGTTCAAACAAAGATTTAGTATTTAAAATAGCCAAAGTTATGTCAAAAGTACTAAATTTTCGTGTCAAATGAAATCTATCAATTAGAACATTAATCAATAAAATATTTGTAGAAATAAAAAAATTTTAAACTATTATATCATGAGATTTTCAACGCACAGAATTTATCTTTAATTATTTATTCAAATTAATTCAATTTGAGAGCACTACAAAAGAATTGAGGCCTTCATTCCATATATATATATAAATATATAGCCAGTCTTCGGTGGCTTATAGTACAAATATTCCAACTCTTTGAAACATTCTCATCGCAGACGGAGATTGGTGATGAAGAGCCTTCAGGTTTTTTTCCCCCTCTTATTATTGTCGAACTTTTTACTCGACTTTCAATGTTTCACAATTTACGTATACTCTATTTTATATGAATATCTTTCGATAACAAAAAAGCAACGGTACATATGCATGCATATACTGAAAACTAAACCAATAGCTAAATCAAAACGATTAATACAATGTATTGTTATCGTTTTCAGATATGTGTGTATCACGTGTATGCATATACACACACACACACACGTTGCGTTTTTTGGGTTGTGAGATTTGGTTTGACATGTCAGAAGTAAATTGTATTCATGTTCCTCCTGCATTAGTCAATAACAATGTTTACCTATTTAGCAACTTTTTTTTATGACCATCTAACTAAATCATATTTAAGCATTGTTAGGCCTAATTAGATTTAAATCTTCCAAAAGAGTTTTCTAGATTTATACAGACTAGCACAAATATAACTATGTTTTGATGATGTATTTTGTTTTAATTTTTTTCAGAAGTTGTATTTATTTCATTGGATGGAACCAAGGTATTGAGAACCAGACGGATTATCAAATTGATCAAGGCACTAGTTCAAAGTTAATGATAAAAATCATAGTTTAATCATTTTCAAAGCAATCATAAACAAAGCATTAATTTTATTAAACGAATGAAGGTTTAACAATTTACCGATTCTGGTAATTAACCTGGGTTTTTATACTATGGATGGAACAATGTCCAATCTTCCAGCTGAAATTTGGGAGAAAATTTTTCAAACACTACCCATCAAAGCTCTGATCAAATGTATATCTGTCTGCAAATATTGCAAGTCTCTCATCACCAATCAATTCTTCATACAACAATATTCAATCAACAATAACATTGGCAGTAGCTGTCTCTTTCTCCAACTTATTGCCATAAAAAAACAGACTAAAAGGACCGGACAGAAGACTGACATGAACAAGAAGGAATATTTTTTCTCAATATATTCATCAGTTGATCATCAACTCTCGATTCTGAAATTCCCATCAATAATTAATCATCAAGACGATGATTATTTCGATGATCTTACTGTGATTGGCACTTGTAATGGTCTAGTGTGTTTCGCTAACTACTTTTTTTCATCACCATCACATCACACAGCCATAATCATAAATCCTTCTATTCAAAAACAAGTTATGGTGCTTCCCAGATCATCATCCGCTGTAACTTCAAATTCCTCGGACCAATTCAATTGGGTATGTTCCATGTCAGGATTTGGTTTTGATTCTAAGAACAATGATTTTAAGGTCGTCAAAATTTTCCTCCGTCTCTGGGAACGAGTTACTCCACTAGTTGAAATCTACTCTCTTGCTACTGCTAAATGGAGAAGCAGCATCAGTACTGGATCAAGATCAGGTCCTTCTATATGTTCTTGTTTGCATGGTTTGACAAGGGATCAAATATTCATTAATGGTTCTTTACATTGGCTTGTTTGTGGATGTTGCAATGGTCTACAACGTCGTAAATTTATACTATCGTTTGACCTAGCTGGAGAGACATTCGGAGAATTAATGATGTTGCCAGCCTGTTTGAATCCTCTGGCTTCATGTCATAGGCTGTCTCTTTTAATGACAGGAACCAATAATTCATCACTTGTTTTGGTTCATGAAAAGGAAGTAAGGTGGTCCCATAATAACGTGTTTGATATTTGGGTGATGAGAGAGTATGGTAATGTGGATTCATGGAATCTGATATTCTCTTTTGACTCGTCAAGGCTCTATAATGGAGAGATTTCAAGAGTAATAGCTATGAGGAGTAGTGGAGAATTGGTGCTGCAAACCTATGGCAATCAGACAATTTTATTAGATCCAAATAAAGATTCAGTAGTGAGGTGTTTAGGACTTGAAGAATATAATGTTCGTTTTGCTGGGGATTACATGGAGGCTTTGTCTTTGATAAATGAAGAAAATTGTACTCCTTTTATTAGCAGTGTTATAAGAACTGCAGGATAGTTATTAATTGATAATTTCAGTAAATGATACATATGAAACTTCAGAATAAATTTATGATTTCTTAGGGCTTTTTTTTGCATTTAGATTTCTTATGTTGGACTTGAAAGTATGATTTCTTGTATTACGATTTTTTGGAACAATATCTGGCCCAAAAGAAATTTTTGGAAAAATCTTGATAATATTTTCTTCCATTGTTATAATATATCTTATAAGTATTGTCATCCTTCTACATGTATTAATTGATATAGGTTTGTTGAATGAATGTTGGTTGACTATTTTGAGTTTAATGTGTTATTATTAATAGTTACTTAATAAAATTTAAATATTATGTTATGAAACTTATTAGTAATAGTTTATTTAATCAATCAATCAACTATCTTCTACAAATCACGCAGAAGTAACATGATTAGCTGATAAAAATCTCTACACCAATGCAAGATGTGATTCAGTAGCCGCCATCTATCTTCTACCCTTTTCTGTCTTCTGCCTTCTTTCTTTCTACTGACAAGTGAATGGTCCAGAAGGAAATAAAGCTTGGGAGGATTACCTTGGGTTGTGTTTAGATGGGAGGATATGAGTTGGGAACTTGAAATTAAAATCTCATATTTGAAATTCATAGATTCTAAATTCTTTGTTTGGATGATATAAAAAATTTCAAAATATAAAATTAAAATCCTTTGTTTAGATCTTCTAAATTCTTTGTTTGGATGATATAAAAAGTTTCAAAATATAAAATTAAAATCCTTTGTTTAGATCTCAAATAAAATTCCAAAATTCAAATTCTATGTTTGAATTTAAAGGCAATTCAGACGATATTGGTGGTCCAATCTTAGTCAAAATCGGTGGTCTTGTCCAAATCAAGGGTGGCGGCTCAATCTCAATCAACTTCAGCTATTCAAACTCGAACAATGCCAGTTGTCTAGTCTCAATTGGAGAGGTAGCCCAATCCTAGTCGACATCGATGTCCCAATCCTAAACAATGCTTACGAATTAGCATAGGACAATTATAGTAGTCTGAGGGTTGTGGATTAGACCTAGATGATGACATTAGATCATTCCTTATTAACAATGGCGTTTGATGCCTAACGATGAAGGTGAACATATCAAAGATGGTGATCATAGACCAACCCTGGACTATGATGACAAGCAAGTCTCGATCGACACTAGTAATATGGTCCCAATCACAGTTAGTGGTTTGGTCTTAGTCATAGCCAGCAGTCTGATCCTTATCACAGTCGACTATTCATTCTTGGTCAACTCTAGCTGTCGAGTCCCAGTCAAAGCCGACTGTGCGGTCCCAGTCATTTCCAACAGTCTAGTCCCGATGGGCATTGGCAATCTAGTCCCGATTGGCTCTAGCCCTTTAGTCCTGGTCAAAGCCATCCCTCCAATCCTGGTTGGCACTAGCAGTCCTAATCAAGATAAAGAAGATCTAAGTCAACAATGGAGTTAAACGAGCAGATCTGAGATATTAATAGGTTCAACAAGAAGATATGAGATAATAGCAGGTTTGATGAGCATATTTGAAGACGTGGTGCAAAGGTGCAATAGACAAAGTTAAAGAGAAAGAGAAGAGGCAAAGACAAAGGATGACAACAGATCAGCGAAGATGGAGCTTTCTGATACTTGAGAGATGTTAAGAGGGCGATCGAGAAGAGAAATCAAAGGTGGGAGATCAATTTGAGTTTGAGAGCTGATGGTGTATAGAGATCGAGGGAGATTCATGAAGGAACATTAATGGAGATCTGTGGTTTTCTGATAGATGAGATAGACCAATGAAATGGCGATCTTTTTGAGACAGTGAGGGTGAAATTGTAAAACATTGAAAATTGTGTTTATTTGTTAAAATTAGGGTTAAAGTACATTTTCACCCCTAAACTTTTTCTCAAGCAGCAATTTTACTCCTATACTAATAAGTGGGTTTTACCCTAAACTATTTTTTTAAGGAGCAAAAAAACTATTTTATAAGGTGCCTAGCGCTTCTTGAAAAACTAGTTCAAGGATAAAATTATCCTACTGATTAATACAAGGGTAACTCCTCGATAAAAAGTTCAGTGTTAAAAATGCACCTTAACCCTTAAATTTATTACTAGTTAGATTTAAAATTAGGATTAAGGTACATTTTTATCTTTGAACTTTTTTTCAAGAAGCAATTTTATTCCTGTACTGATAAGTGGGTTAATTTTATCCCTGAACTATTTTTTTGAGGAGCGCAAGGCACCTTGTAGAAGGGTTTTTTTTTTTTTTTTGCTCCTCAAACAATAGTTCAGGAGTAAAATCACTCCACTTATAAATACAGCAGTAAAATTGCTTATCGAGAAAAAATTCAATAGTGAAAATGCACATTAACCTTTAAAATAATCAATGGCTAAGGAGCCATGATATGTGTGATGTGATGATAAAAATCTCCTCCATAACTTCTTCGTTGGTAATCTCCATCATAGCTTAAAGAATAGTACATTGATTGCTATAATTATCATTAAACTTTTTTAAAACTTGAATTTTTAAAATCTGAGTTTTTTGCTTTTTTGAATCTTATAATATTATTTTAACCCTTTCATTTATGTAATATTAAAATTATCTATTAATTTTTTTAAATGACAGTAAAAATTATAAGATATATAAAGTAATAGATTTTAAAATAAAATATATTATTCAAGTTATTAATAAATACCGAAAGATTTTAACAAACGGTTGACAAATTATCAAATAATATTAGGTACATTATTATCTAGGATAGATTTTAAATTGTAGGAGCGGATTTTCTTTTATTGAAAAGTGAGATTATATTAGATTTTTTTTTAAGTTGTAAGGGGTGGAATTTTGATATGTATGAGAATAAAAATTTTAAAAATAAAATAATATTAGATTATTTTGAAATTCTTAATATATACATATTAAAAATCTAATATGAGAATAAATACATATTAAAAATCTAGATTAGATTTAAAAAAAATTGTAGGGTTGGATTTCTAATATGTATGAGAAAAAATTTTAAAATAAAATAGTATTTATATATATATATATATATATTCCCTAAGGTATCTTCACAGTCAATAACCATGAAATTAATCCCTTAAAAAATTTGAACATATTTTAAGAGATTGTCATCTCCCAATCAATGCTCTCCATACACACCTCCATGAATCGAACTCTTAAATACGTGATCAAATTTTTAGAATGCAATATGCTATAAAATTTTAATATACACCTGCATTACAAAACTTATATATCTATTTACTCCCTCTCGTCCCTATTATATGGCACATTCAACCAGAAATATTCATTTTTCCTTAATATAAGACACTTGATAGGATATTAATTATGTTGTTCTTATATTACCCATATTTAAACTCATCAATAATAAGAGAAAATGCAAGGCAAATTCGATATTTTTCATTTAAAGAAGGGTAAAATTAAAAATTTATTTTATTTTCAAACAAAGTTAATGACTTAAGTAAGGATGGATCCATGAATTTTTGTTAGGGGAAATTTTTATTTTTCAATTAATTATGGGGGGTAGAACTTAATAGAAAGTCTTATTTTATTTTTGGCTAAATTATTCCTTTAGTTATTTAACTTTATACAAAATTTTATTTTGGTTCCTTGATTTTATAAAATATCTTTTTAGTCCTTTAATACTAACATTGTTAGTTTCATTGTAAAAAATAATTACATTAAAATTTTAAATATTGATAAAACATTCTCAAAAATTGATTTATTAAGTTTAATACTTTTAAAAAATGACAATGATTAACATAAAAAATAATCATTTAAAACTAACATTGCTATAATTAAAAAATAAAAAAGATACTTTATAAAATTAAGGAACTAAATTAAAACTTTATATAAAGTTTGATGACTAAAAGTAATAGTCTCTATATTTTTTAATTTGACTTCAACATTTCTCCTCATTTGTAACCAACTGAAATGCACAAGTGTGAGGGCGACCAACACCTTTGTTGGCCCCACTTTAAATCAACTATAAGAGTCAAAATATTCTAAAATAAAATAAGTTATTATTTATATATTTAATAGGTATGGACAAAACCAAATTTAGAATAGAATACCATGTTATTTTAATTTTAATTTTACATAATTAATTAATTGTATTCTAAAGACATTAAAATAAAATATTTTTATATTTTTTATTTCTTTTTATGTTTACCTTTTAAATATTAAAGGGAATAAATCTAGTTTTCGACTAAAACCAAAGTTTTCACAAAACTTAGCTTGAATGAAGTTGCAACTGAAAATTTATCAAAACAAGTTTAGATAACAATTAAACACGTCAGATGTAAGAAGTTGTAAAATACTTGAGAGAAAGCTTAAATAAAGTTTTCATAAAACAAATGATGTTAGAGATTGAAATTAGAAATTTCTTTAAAGATAGATTTGCAAACCTTTGAAAATCAGTAAGATGACTAAATCATATTGACAAAACACTATTCTTAAAATAAATATAGTTACCAAAACTAAGAAATAAGAGAGTAAGTGTAAATTAGTTAAAAAATATGATTAATTTATTTAATTATGTTTTTGGATTGCTAATTAAATTTTTGGGTCATATTTGGCTCTAAATTGAGTTAGAATGAAAGTCAGATCAAGTCAAGAGACATCAGGGGGAGAAAAATTAACTTGTTGCTTGCTGCATCATAAGCCGCAACTTGCGTGGCATGTGCTGTGGTGCATGGCACAACAAGCAACTTAAAATTTTGCAAATCATCAGAAATTGACAGTTTTTAGGGTGGAAAACCTAGAACACGAAGGGGGCAACTTTGGGCACTGCTAGGACATCAATTTAGGAGGATTTTGAAGACAAATTGAGCCTTTAAACTCTTGAGTAAGTTTCCTACCCTTTTCCCCTACCTTTTCATTTCATTTTCCATGGGATTTGGAAGAGTGAGAATTTAGTCTTATTGGATTAAGCTATGAGTCTATGTTTTGAAGGTTTCTATTGACACTAAAGGTTTGATTTAGGTTTATTAATCTTGGATAGG